ATTCCGTAGCAATAAAATTTAGATTGGCAAGTGATACTGGCCGTATAATTAAAATAATATACTCGCGTCTCTAAAAATTGTGTTTCAGAAATGTTTCTGTTATTATCCATTTATGGTAATCCAATTCTAGTTGCTACTTCCGTGTTGCAATCTTTAAAACGATATAAAAACCACGCACAAATAATGCAAACTTAAATACACAATTATTTCCAAAGGCGTAATACTGAGTTCGTAACGTTATTTTTATAGCCGAAGAAAAATTAAACTCGACCATAGCTTCCACGAATAATGGGAATAATTGCCTCATCGCAGACAGAGGCAACGTGGCAAAAAATGTCTGTAATTAAGTAACTTCAGCCCTGGTTATCTTGTAAATTACCCAGAGGTATACATTTAGACGACTCACTGTTTTCGCGACTCTGATAATCCGTGACGTAACAGAAGAGGTGCAAGAAATGTTAGCAAAACATCGAATCTAAATAATAACGTACCGTGTGTTCCGCGACTGTTACACGTTGGACGCGTGTAATTCCTGTAATAACAGCCTAGAAAAACCTTGTCATACGCGGAGATTTGTTTTCCTACATCACTCGCGTTAAAAATGTCAACACTTAAAACCTTGAAAAGGACTAAACATCCTGATCGAAACGAAAGTTGTTATACGAATAAAACGTACCTTGGAATTTCAATGAAAACGTAAAAATGTCCTGGAAAGTCTATAGAAAAATTGTTAACAGATCGTGAAATATTGTGACTTTTATTGAAATATTTTCTATCGTAATTGTGTAACGTGTTGTTGGATAGAGATGAAAAGGACCAAGGACGATGAAACAGAAATAGATGTCCTTGCTGAGGTTTCCATGGATTCCAGTGTATCCAGTTCATCGACATTAATAGTACGAGATGCGAGGTTGCTGCGAAGATTACCGTAATTGCCCTTCCACGTCTTTCATAATTTCATATTCACCTGGGCGGTGGAAACGCGGCTCTTTCTTCGTCTGCTTTCTTCCAGTGAAGTCATGCGAATATCAAGGCTTCGTGAAAATCGAGACGCTCTTTAACAACGACACTCCAAATGAAATTCTAATCTTACCATCCCGCGATATTTCAACCATTTAAATGTATCTGCCGTAGAGATGGGCAATGTTTCTATCTAGATCAAAATTTCGAATAACGAAATTAGATACACCACTTTCTAATAGTTACTAATTGAATCACAATTAGTTTGAATTATAAAATGAAATATTTTACAACGAACATTGCGGTATGTATATTTCTTTCCTTTCATTCTTACAGCAAACTAATTATTTCAATTTTAATTGCTAAGCTAGAAAGAAATATTAACTAGTATGAAATATGTCAATAAATAAAAATAAATTAAACAGCAATTAAATCTCAACACGTTCTCATGCGCCGTCTATTATTCGAATTACATTTCGCTCATCTCTGATTGTCAGTTCTCCCGTCGCAATTCCATTTAATCAGTGTGTAATTACCAGCAATTAAATTGATTTGTTCCAAACTATTGTTCGCGTCACTTCTATAGTAATTGTACTGAACTTCAGCAACTAAAAGTTTACTTTGTAATAGCATTTAACTGTAGCTCACATTCACAATGTAATTGTAATTAATACCTTCTTACTTTCTTTACTTGCGCATTACAATGTCGTAATTCGTTTTCTTATGCATTGAAAACTTTTCCAATGCTTAAATTGATCCTTATTAATCCTTTGCATTCTCAGTCACATCTTAACGTAATTCAGTAACTCGGGAAGTTATTAATTTTTAGATTATACTTGAATGTAATCTCGACGAATTGATCTAGATTTTTTGAGCTCTTTGACCGCCATCTATAGTCATCAGTTTCAGAGCATCGCAGTTGTGTACGATTCGTGTTCGAGTTTTGCAATGTTTGGTTTGTAACTCGTTGCGACGATCTGGTGCTAAATCGAGCAATTAGCGAATTACTGCTCACGCGACGGGATAAAAGTAGGCGAGTTGACGCGTGGAAGAAATCAACCTGCAGGATCCTACCTAGCATTCCTATGCAATTATAGTTTCCTTTTATCGCGTCGATCATGCACCTGGATCGACGGATCCGGTTTATACGCCAAACCGCGAACGTGTAATGCGTGTTCATTAGCGGTCCCGTTGAAAGTGGCCGCGCGGAGATCTATAATATTCCTTAGCCTTGATCGCTTTGCTCGTGGATTGAGTAACACGCGTACGGTGAGAACACCGACTCGATTATTTCCTTCCATAAAGAAAAAACTGGGAGTTGGCACAGGAAACGTTTCCTCAGACTCTCGAGTTAGTACTAATCGAGTTATTGTCGCAGACGATTATCTAAACGATACGTGATGAATTTATTATATTTTACACCATGGTTTTATATTTCTTTAAATATAGCAATTTTTCGCCTCTCCGCTTTTACGAAAAGCGACGCGAATTGCGAATACAAACGGGCAGATCTACGTGCTCCTGCCGCGTAAACTGGTGCATATAACTGCAAATCTCGATGTCCCGCTACGCGTTATGGGAATTCAGCGTATTTTCGCCACGCGATATTCAAAATACCTATCGTAAATTCCTGCGGAAAATAATGCTACTCGAAACATTAACTGTATTAAAAATACAGGATGGTTTCATGGTATTTCTAATGGAAAATGATCGTTAAAATAATAACGATGTCGAGATTAATAATTAGGAATTTTGAGTATGATGTAGTATTGTACTATTGTTAACATTGAAATTTCGTTTCCTTTTTAAACAGGACCCCCTTCAAGGATTAAAACGTAGAATTACACAGTTGCTCTGTGTGTGTTTTTATACATCAACCAAGCATGAATCGATTCTTGGGTAACTGTAAGTAGCATCAGTGGTGCACGCATAAATTCGAAATGCTATCAATTGTGGGATCTCTTTCCCATCGTTGTGGGCACAGTTGTCCACCTGTTTCTGCGCTACTAATCGCCTCTCAATCCAATTACATAATACGCCACTTCTGTAGGCGCGTGTTCTTCTGCATCTCAGTCCCGTTTCTGATTCCGCATGTATCAAGTTGACTGTCATTATCTTGTAACACCCACGTTCACGGTATGCCTACGTGAAGTCCATTACCTTCACCCGATCGTGTATCGTGAATGCAGTATGTAAATAGTGCCGGTACACAATTACAGGCAAACGTTGTAGAACGTATCGCGTAAACGGTTACCGCTTACGGGTTAATGAAATGGATTTAGCGATACAATGGACCGCCCGCGCCGATCGGAATATCCTTACGAGCGTCGGCTAGCAAACGCATGCAAATTTAAACGAGGATCGAACTTTCAATGGCGCACGTTGCCTGTGATGCAGCATCAAGCAAAGGTATCGTTCGTTAAGGAGAGAAATAGGTTTAGGACTACATTTCTTAGTTATATTACACAAAAGAGCGTTATTTTCTTGTCACTTTTTCATAACTTCTTTTGCAATAAAAAAATACTTCTAACAATGACACTACTTCAAATTTAGATTCATATAGAGCCTAATTATAGTATAGAGCGAACGGTAGCTGCGTTTAAAGTGATATTTGCTTGCGTTGGGAGAAATGTTATACAATATGATTTGTAGGTAAATGTAACATTTCATTTTGAATCTCCAATTACATTAAATTTTAACTTTTAATATTGTTCCAATAATTGAATTCGGCGATTATTACTTTAGAATCCGTTTATGTACATTTCGCGCTGCACTTTGCGCTCAATGTCATCCATATAGTTCCATCTCGATCGTAGGTTCCTCTCTCAAGTTCCAAGAACAACCCTAGTGTTTGAAGTGACGCCCTTCAGCAGACCGAGAAAACTTAACTTTACACTCAGAAGTTTTCATCGTTCTATTCCAACTTTTTAAATTTACTGTTATTTCAAGATCTTATTATCATACTTAAAATCGTCATTGCGTCAGCTACATTACCTGAAAGGTGAAAGTATTTAAATATTTTTATTTAACGTTTGTCTTATACAATTAAACATAAATAACAAAGATACTGAGTTGGCAAGTGTTCACACGTACCCTTTCAATCCAACGCCACTTAATATACCTTCAAACTTGTGCAACAGTTACCAACAGGTGGCCCATACTTCTTGTACAGTATTCGTCCTGACATCACTGTTCTACCCGTACATCCGCATGTAATACCACATATGTTATAGTTTTGATTTAATATCCATTCTGGTCCAGTTAGATCCACTTTAACGATAATATTCCGTTGTACGTTGAATAACATCACGAAGCCAACGGAATGACGCTCTCACGGTGGCATTCGCGGAAACTTGAGTCCATCAAAAGTTGCGAACCGCAGCACATAGCGTAAGCTTAGTATTAAATTTCAAGGGTTCGCTAATGGACGCTTGAAATTTCGATCGATGGACACATGGCGTGGACGTTGTTACATATAACCGTTTCATTTCTAAAATAAAAAAAATAAAAGCATTAATATCACAACTTAAACATCAAGGTGTGATCCATGCTATCTTTGTTTTGTAGAACATTAAAATACTTCGTTTAAAATTTCAAAGACACAGGGATTGGTTTTGATTTCTACTGAAGGTTTAGCAAGATTTTTAAGAACGCTAAGAGAATCTGAAAAAACGAGATTAATATTGTTGACATTACTGAAAGCAACGTCTAGAAGACTATTAACTGCAATGCATTTAGTCATAAATATCGATGCATTTTGGTTTTGTATATTTATTTTAAGACAATTGCAACCAGTGCCGACTGGGGAAGCATTAAGGGTCGCACAGATTATTCTGACGTGACGTGGGAATTGATCTTTTTGAAGAACTGTAAAATTAATTTACAATCTCACACATGTCAACAAATCCTAGTTCTACATATATATTGTTAACCTACATGTAAAGCAAATAAATCTCTCTTTTGAGATTTGAAAGCTTCAATAGAAAAAAAGAAACATCAAGATGTTAGAACATTAGTAACTTGGTTGCTTTTGCTTTCAGGCGTACATAAAGAAGGAATTAGGGAAGGTGGTGGTCTACACGACGACGTCTGGTATCGTCAGGAAAACGTTCTACAATTGTAAGAAGGTGAAGCAGATCCTGAGAACGCACATGGTCAAGTACGACGAATTGGATCTTTTCGGCGACGCAGAGCTGCAAGGCGAGTTGAGGGACCGTTTAGGGTTGACGGCGATACAATTACCTCAGCTTTTCATCGATGGTCAACACATTGGGGTATGTAAATCCACGACAACATAGTTGCTTCTAATTCGTGACACAACATCGTTTAACTCTTTGCGCTCAACGACTAGTAACAACATTCTAGGCACAGATTGACGGTCGAGAGTATTATATTTTAGCATTTTGTGTACCTTTGCATCTCAGATAACGAATGTTCTTTTATATTAGTTCTGTAATTTTAAATTCATTAGAACTTTATGACTTTCAAAACAACAAAGACATTAAACACAAATTTTCGTCACAGTTGTCGAATACGAAGAAGAAATCTTATTGTTTCAAAGTTTGTTTCAAAGTTTACCATTTAATATTTTCTAAATGAATAGATAAAGTGCTTGCGAGTAAAGACTGTTGCCTCCCAATCGCCTTTCGAGTGCAAAGAGTTAACTATCAGAGAAGATAATAACTCAAGATCCATTCGACTTGCCTTTCAACAGAGTTATTTGCTACCACCCACAAGAATCGATCTCTAATCCGTGCCTGAACATGATCGAAACTCGTCTACACGCGCGTCACTTTCTTCACTCGCACGTATGTTGTTCTGACTGACCCACATATGCTGCCAATCGAAACATGACACTTGATCTTCAACTCCAGGACCCAACTCTTGCGCGTACCGCAACCTCTAGCTCAGCCAGCATCTCTAATTACCCTCATAGCTCTGCTATACTTTCGCCTATATCCTCCGTGAACAACCCTCGATCTCACTTTTCGTCTCTAGTCATCGGTGCTCCGACCACGTCATCCAGCTCCTGCGCAGCTAATTTAAAAAATAGACCATTATCGAATCACGTCAACTTTGTTGAAAATAAAACCATGTCGATTGCACGTCGCAGTGCTTGTTCACCGTATACTCTATCTACCCGATGTGATCGATCTACTGTCGACCCTTTCTTCGCCAACGCCTTCGTATTTATGGGAACTTCTCTATAAGAACCATGATTAATGGCTTATCCTTTCTTCCATATCGTACATCCAAATACTAGGGTACAGGGCTGCTCCCTGTGTCACTATAACTCATACTCCGTCAAGATTCGCTCCTTACCTATTTAACTCCTAGAAGAACGCAACTACCGTCTTCAGAACAAAGAAATTCGGTCCATAGAGGGTTTCAGTATTTTATTTTGTAAAAATGCAGATTTCCTGCACACGTTTTTGTGTTTTCCATAATCGCATGTGTCACATGTAGAATCTACGGTCCAATGATAACGTTTCTTTACTCACGATAGCGCAATACCTGTAACACGACAATGGGCAAATACCTGTAACAGAGAACTTATGGAAGGCCTGGATAGAATGTCCGAGGATCGTGTAATACATATCGTCGCGCGTGACTGAACAATGCGTGGTATGTGACGCCTAAGGTTCTCATTAGACGCACCTTGGGAATTGTCAAGCCGCCCCTTAAACGCTTTTAGATACAATTTATTCCTCTTCTTCCCCTCTTCCATTCATTTAAATTGAATATTTTTCTTTGCATGTGCACGTACGGGGGAATTACCTCTCCGAAGGCTATTATAATCAGAAAGATGTTCCTTAGGTATGTGGATGTAAGAAACGTAAAAAGAAGTAAGCAACGCTAATGACATCGACACTGAAAGGTCGCAGAGCGTACCGTGATAATGTCAGGTTGGGGATAAAGCAACATGATTCAGAAAAGCTTATCTTACTTCGACAGAAATGTATTGCTAGTATTCAGTATTTAATATTTATTATCTGATATTCTCCTTTAAGAGGGTTTTCATTTGGAACAGTTTTCATCTGAAACTAATAGAGTTTCACATTTACTTTAGGGGCATGTTTTTCTTCTATATCTACCTAACCTTCGAAAACGTAAGGAGTCAAGATATTGGGGTACGTCCTGCGAAGTGGCACTTTGTGTAGTACCGTGCTTCGAAAAATATCACACCTAGGTAAATTGAAATTTTTTAAATTATTTCCTTTCTTCAAATTTTCTGGTTTATGTATTTTATTATCTTTTGACAATTTTCGAGCTTTTAGTGAGACTAACATTGTCAGAAACGAATTGTTAATTTTTTTGTTAAATAAAAATGTAATCCTTCCTCGTTTTTCGTAAAATTTATGATGGGATTGTTTGCCCTGCTTTCGACGTGTATACTTGTCATTGCTGGATTTTAACTCCGCACTCTGCGTCTCTTTTAAAACTAAATTTCGCAGTTAGCAGGTTAATTGGCAAGTGAGTCAGATTTAATTCAGAACATCCGATATTCGTACAAAGTTGACTGAGGGAGTATTACTATCTCACTCTAGTTTAACTGTTACACATACCGTACCTATATCCCTGTGATCACCTTTGTCGTATCTCTACGTGTCCAATTAATCACTCTGGCGACAATTAACGATACTCGGCGAAGCTCCAGTTAGACACGGCCAATTTGCCGACGCAATTAGCAGAAAGTTTCGATCCTGCTTCGTCGAAGATTATCGTAGCTGCTTCTGTCGGCACGTGTCCCATCTCGATAAGGCCCACGTTTTACAGCGATCAGCGAGACGACACGCCGACGTTGAATAATGAAACGTGAGCATCTGCTGCTGACCGTCCAGCGAGCTGCGTTCGACGCTCATCAAGCCCGCCTGTGCACCGTTCTCATCGATTTTCTCGCTTACGGAAATCTAAAATTTCTCCGAAGAAATCCAATTATGTTCTCGCTTGGAGGGTGGATACGGTCGAATCTTGAATTTTGTTTATTTGGGAGAACCTATCCCACGATATTTTGTATTCGCAACAGATTTCTCGCAAGGGCGATATCTCGTTACGCAATCGTGGACATCGAGCAGTTCGTGAAAGTCGAAAGGATTGGAGAAACCGACGCGTGAAATGTCAAAGATGGCCAATGACTGACGGCTCGTTTTGAATAAGCCTGTAACCGGAAGTCTTCAACCTGCGTGCAGTTGCACAATCGAGTGTCGTTCCTCGTTCAAAAAACATTTCGTACGCAGTCCGCACGCTCGCCTCTTCATCCATCAAAAGGTTTCGATGTTTCATTGCCAGCGGGCCGAGTTGTTCTCGATTGTACCGTTTACTCGCAATTCGAGACGGTGTTACCGTGTCCGTGTCGACGTTCTTCGACTTCTGGAAGAATCTGCGCATTGAAACGTAAATAGAAATTTAGTTTCATGGAACACAATGCTAGTCCATTTAAGAGTCAACTGAGATTTAAGCATCTCAGATTTCTCATTGTTGCTTGAGCAATTCACGAAAATGAAAGTGGAAAGTATTGATCTCGCGACAACACAGTATTTAGTTTCCAAGTAATGTGACAAATAAATCGAGAATCTTGGATAAGAAGAGTGATAATCATAAAAAATTGCTTCTATGCTTAGAAGACTATTTTATTACGAATATTTGATACAATACTAGAAGTCTACAGGTGACATACCAGTCAATCTCATAAATATTCGTACTCTCTATGTCTAGTGAAGAAGTTTGACTAAATTAAATAGTAGTTTTTTATATTACCAAATTAATTTTTCCTTATAACTATGGACATGAATAAGCTTATACATGTATATTTATATACGTATACATCAACATATTTATACAAACGTATACTTGGAAATATCAAATCTACCGTTAAATTTAAACAAATTTATTCAATAGACATAGTGGGTACGGATATTTATGGGACTGACTGTATGTCAGGTGTATAATAGATAAACTGCATATTTTTCGAAAGTAAACGATTTTGAAAAATTGTAATCTTCCAAGCAAAAATATACTTTGAGTAAATATGTTTTCGAGACCATTCTGACAGCTAGCATCGCCGTAACAAGAGTAAAAACGTAATAGAATTCTTTCCCAGTGCAAGCAAGACCACGGATATTGGCACGCGAATATACGGTACAGTTAGGTTTTCGGTTTCGGTGTTGCGTTCAGCGGAACAGATTACTTTGCCGCGCTATTTTTCTTACGCTGTATTTGCGATGGTCCTTTTGATGGTGTTTGCAGTTATTATACACGCCTTGTGTCGGTTTTCTGCCACGTTTACGGCGATACTTTTGCTCGGTTGGTCGAGTGCGCGAGGAATATTCTTCGCTGACGATTTCACGTTTCATTTTTTCCCTGAAATGTAGATGCTTGTGACGATGTCGTTATTCTTATATTTTTATGGTACAACGTTCCGTTAATTCAATGGAATTATTTCTTTAATCCTTCTTGCAAGTAACTGAGCACATTAAAAAAAAACCGGCGAAACATCGTGGTGTAATTAGGGGCGTGTTTCCATACGTATACGCGGCCTGCAATTACACAGCTCCGCGTCGGCTAATAAATTGCATCATAGAGAAAAGAAAAAGAATTCCAAAGAAATAGCGAGTGTTCTCGTTCAAACGAATCGAGTCGAAATATTACACAACCCTGAACAAAGTTGTACACGTCTGGTACGCCCAAGTTTCGAAAAAGAACCTAGAACCTTCTTGGCGACCGCATAATCGGATTGTAAGTTGTAGCCGTTACCTTGCCCCAATTAACGCCTCGTATTAGGACCCATTTAATTAATGCGAAACGCGCGCGCACTTCGCAACCAAAGTTGGTCAATGGAAATTAATGATAACGGGAGTCATGCGTCGTGTCTATACTCCTGACCCAAGATGGGCAAAATTTTATTTGAATAATGAGTGACGAGTAAGAATGGAGTAGTTGCGATTTATTTTTACGGTAAACTGTGAAATTGATTGTGATTAATTCATGTGATTGATATTATTTAATTCGGTTAAAATTTCTTTTCCCATTCGATTTCTATATCTAGATAAGCGTTTCGTCCGCCTTTGTTTCTGTCCGTGCGTAATTGTTTCGAAATATTCATAAAAAGACTGATTTACATCGAGTCCCTCTCGCGATTTTATTCGCAATGAAATTCTTTCGTAATGGAAATGCGGCACAATTACGTGAGTAGCCTTGCGTTGAATGTACTTTTTCCTTACTTTACAAGCAAAACGTGCTGTAACTGTTTTGCTTGATTTGTCTTGTGTACAATGTTGCATATTCGACTTTGTACTGCGAATACTAAAATTGTTAGTAAATTTCTGAATTGAAATCGTGATACCAGCGCTCGCAGAATTATAAATAGGTACAAATTTACGGGTTTAGTAGTTAGCAAAGCTCATACGAAGTAGATACTATTCATGTATGCATTGACATTGCTTTATAGTTATGTTTAAAACCATGATATAAAATTAAAAAGATGTTTAAAGATGTCTAGAGGTATTAATTTCCATGTGTAGAAAGTGTTCAGACTGTAATACTTATACCTACACGGTTATTTTCTAACGAGTTTCTCTCATTATTCTTCTAGTATTATCTCTGACAACGTAAAATGTATTAATCCCTCGTGGAAAATGGTGCAAATTTACATACATAAATTTAAACGATAGAAACTTAAGTACCTTGAAAATGGTTCACCTTCACAAACTTTACTGTCGAGATCAATTTTACTTATAATTTTGTACCATCCTGTATATCGTTTACAAAATAATAACATTATCTTATATAAGATTTTACGTTAGACGTGTGAGTAATATTGCGTAGAAATAATTTCTGACATTAATACTCGTGAACCTATCATGCGATTTAACGGTAAAGTAATGCCCGCATCAAAAGTTACAAAGAGATATAATCCTTTTAATTTCGACTGAAATACACACTCATCGATGCAATCCGCTATTTGTTGATCTCTCGATCTCTTTCATACACTGCTCCGCTCTGCCACGGATCAATTCCACTTTGATTGCATTGTTGATATACTTCTCTGCAGGTCTCCGTACTTGTATTATTTTAAAAAGAAATTCCAGTGAAAGCTACTCAGATTGATTAAATTTTCACAAATATAGAACAATTGGTTTTCATTCGGAATTTCGAGAGAAGTTCAACATTCCTAGAAATGTTTTAGTAATTCATTTTATTATTGTTTATTGAATTTTCATTACATATTATATCGCAATGCAGAGTAAGCTAATAAATACTTATTCGCCACAAGTTTTAAACTAACGCTAACATTCCAACTGGTAACTTTCCATGAACTTTGCTTAATATGTACTTACGGGGTGGTTGGATACTTTTGTCACCAACCGTTCGCGCTCTCCATTTTAATTCCAAACTCGCCGCTAAACTCCTTCAACTTTATTCTATTTTACACAAAACACCACCACACTAGGAGTCCACAGCAATGGTAGAAAATTGGCTTGGCACGTCGAAGTTTGTTTTCATGATTCTTGACGCATTCCATCGCGGTTTGTTATCCGAGTCGCCATTTTGCGAGATTCCTACGAATTTGTTTCGCTCCCTGAGCACGTACTAAAGCCATCCATATCGTGCCAGCTCGATAGTCGCCACTACAATTGCCCAATTTCCCAGAACGTCAAGACGGAATGGAGAGTCGAACTACAGTAATTTCCACGCTTAAAGATGGAATATCAATTCCTTTTAACGCGCGATTCTTTTTTACTTGAATAGCCAGAGTGATCCATTTTAGCAGTATAGTCTAGGTTGGGAATAGAATTAGATGGTCATGCACCACTTCTTTAACCCTTTTCACTCGACGACAGTTTCAATAGAGAGAGATCATTTTAGGTGACTAAACCTTTTTCTACCATGACTGGAGAGTCGTGGAAATGAAATGTCTTAGTAGTGGTTCAAAGAGTACCAGTTTACACCTTAGGAATTTACTCATGAACTAATATCGCTACAAGATTCAAGGAGCAACAGAGAAGCGAGTACAACTTGATCCCAGAAGCAGCTCTAACATCCCAGAAACATGTGCAAAACACCATCAACTATTTCAAGGACACTAAATTCTACAATAGTATTATATATATTATATAATACCACTAATGAAATAGAAATCCAGTTAAATCTATTATTCGCCCATCTTTGGTCAAGCGCGTCTCCGCTATCGTTGATAGGTTTGCCATACTTGACAGCGACGTCAGATAAGCGCGCAAAAGCGAAATGTCAAATTGCTAGCTCCAAGGACGAAAGCAAAGAGAGACGGAGAACGAAAGGTGAAGTGGCTTGCGTTACACGGCATTACGGCCCTCTGCGGTTTCTCGCGAGAATGTGCAGACGAAAGACCGTGCTCCATACTGCATTCCAGCTCGACCACGCCGCAATGGCGATTTCCATACGTTTGATCGCTCTGACCCATGGATAATTGTCAATTTTAAGAATCTAACTGGATGAAATTGCGCAAGAAATAATATTATAATCGTAGGTTTAATTGCGATCTTCACGGTGACCTTTAGGGCAGGCTTGAGAGTAACCTAATTGGCAGTAAAAATGGAAAATGGGTTTGGTTAACTTATTCGAATGAAATTAGAGGTGATTTCAAATTTTAAATCATGGGAAGTACATTTGAATTTTCTTCTGTTTATTATCTCTTGTTGGTTATGTCTCCGTCAATTCTTATCTCACACCTTAACGATCGTGTCTTTCAAGGTCTGAAAAAATGAAACCTGAAACGTTTTCCACGTCACATTTTCATTTCTTTCGCTAATTGCTTTCCTTGTCTCGGGCATAAAAGATTAATTTCAAAGCTTGACGAACGAACAGATAAAGTACAAATCAAAATCGTTAAAGATCATTTAAACCGCGGGGCTTCATAAAGTGTCCGTCACCGCGACCATTGTCACGAGCGTTTATGCCATCACCGCTAATGGTCGGCGATAAAATACCGTGAACCAGGTAAATTGCTTGACAGCAATACCAAAGCGATTACGGCAGCCTGTTACTCGCATCATAAATATTTTAATACGGTTCGCCCCGCATGCGCGCGTTTCTACGACCTTCCCCGTGCGTGTAACACGCGTGTCATAATCGACTAATCCCCCATGCTTCCTGCAAAAGTGTAAAACAGGGCCACGCGAAAGGAACATCATAAGTCTTGATGAACGGAAATTCATAAAACATTTTCTCACAATTTTCGTAATACCAACTTCCCATAAACGCAACGTTCCGATGGTCTTTGCTTCATTAAAAGTTCTTTTCACGTTACAGGGCTTTGACACTGTGGAACGGCTCAACGAATCAGGAGAACTGAGGGACATGCTTAAGCCTTATCAGGTAATTTCATCTCGTATTCTAATTGTCTGACTTTGCAACACGGACTGTTAAATAAACCATTAATTGCACAAATCGATTAACTCTATTAAACAGAAAGTTGAGAAATGCGATGAAATAATGTACAAATAATAATAATAATAATGCGATATCTGTCGTTTAATGGTGTTAATCTTTATTATTTAGAAAAGTTATTATAAATATAAAGAGTTATGACTATAACTAGCGCTTTGACACTTAAATTTAAAATTTTCCAAAAGTGCAGATAATCGGTGTAGCGAACGACTCAAGCGTCAGAATGTTAAATTCTGGATTAAAATTGAATCAGTGAATCGCTCTGAATAATAAGAAACGCGTCAAGAAGTATAAATCATTCCTTTACCTTGAAAATTACTTTGCATGCCGGTTTAACAAATAGTGTCGTGACAGTAAGTTGTCACCTACGCCGTAAAACAAATCATAAAAGGCGCCGTTTCAACGTGGACAGAGATTGATGCCCGCTATAAAGGATAACAATGTAGAGTGACTGACAATCTTTCAGGTAGCATATTCCGTGCTGAAAGAAATAAGAAAACGACACGAAAACTTCGCCCAATAAATTCTTTATTAAGAAGTGATAACTGGAACACAATGTAAAATTTTTAAACGATCAGTCTTCCATTGGCAGGACAGGCTGACATTTTGAAAGTAGATTAGAACAGTAAGTGATTAATGAACGCATCATTCACTCCCAACAGTTATAAGTAATGATCACACTTTGTATGTACAAATTGGGTGAATATCAAATAATCGACTATGAAGATGCACTGCATGTTTCATTTTGTTTGTCAGAGAATTGATCTACTTCTGATCAGTTTCTGGAACCACCCTGTATTTTCTGCAACTCGATTTCAGTGGTGATTTAAATTTCGAAACACTGAAAGTCTCTTTCCGTGACTCTAGTGAGTATGGACCGCCATACGCACGCGTCAACGTGTAATCCACGGATGAGCACGAGAATCCTGTCGATATTCCACCTATTCAAGAATTATTTGACCCTTTTGGAATTCCGTGTATCGGTTCCGAGAACTCTCCGTGTAACTGCGTTCCACGTCGTCGGAATATTTATGCAGCGTAGAAGAATGGAACGACCGTGGTCGGGCATATAACTGCGAGTTACAAAGGAACTTGAGCGCGCGTGCACCGTAATCCGTCGCGAACGCAAGGTTGTACGATCCTTTCACTTTTATCCGACGATATCTTTGCCTCCACCTTCCTTTTCCATCGCGATCATAAATTTCGACGTCGTGCGACTGAGGTTTACCTTGCAGCGAGTAAAGGTCGTTTACACTGTAACTGCCACTGTCACTTTCCTCGTGCTCCTTCCGCCCTACGACGACCCTACTAGCTTGGATGTTCTTTAAACACCTGTGGCAAGGAGACCTGAGTTGAAATTTTTTTTAATTTTGAATTAACAAATGGAAATATCTAAGAATTAAATATAGATTTATAGGTTCAAATTATTCTCGTTTGTTTGAGATTATCATATGCTAAAATGATCAACTGTAAGCTCAAATCCAGAGTAGGAAAAGTCAATTTTGAGCATCGGTTTCAGCGTCTAGCCCCTAACCCCCAAGCCTTAATTCGGTCCTGATGGCAAAGCGAGGTCACGATACCTTGTCGACTTCATGAATCTCGAATGGTATTTTGAATGCAGAATCTGCGGTGGTACTGAAAATATGACGGACTTCGTCGTTCGGTTACACTGGGTCCTCTGAATTGAGAGCGCTCAATCTCCAATGGAAGGAAACGTGCTACTATTAGGATGAATATTCCAGATCTTCCTTCGAATTCACTGCTTTCCATCCTAGGCTGCTAACTGCTTCATCAAATAACTCATCGTTTTACGTTCGAATTCTAATGATCTGGTCCATTGGACTTGCCTTCGAGTAATACTAAACTGCTCCGAAGTGCTAATAGCCAATTTCAATAGCCAAATTCAACTTAACCGATTCGTGGAACACAAAGTTGGAAATAAAATGAATTTTGTAAATAGCACACTATTCAACCTTCCCCTTTAACATTCTGTTTCATGTTCAACGAAATAAAAGTTACGACTCGACGGAAGTATTTAAAATTCAACGAGGTAACTTAAAAAACGCCGCTAAAACAGATGCTCAAAATTAACTTTTCCTACTCTTGATTTGAACTCAAAGTTGATCACTTAAGCTTCTGATGATCTCAAACAAACGATAATAAGTTGAACCAATAAGTCTATATTTAATTCTTAGATATTTTCATTTGTTAATCAAAATTTTTTTAATTTCAACTCAACTCTCCTTAATCCTCCTCCGGGGGTAGAGTGAAGTCATTTTACCCCAATCAAAGAAATAAGTGGAATACGTTAAATTCGCTTCTTTCTTGCAATAAAAAAGGATAAATTCGTGCTGAAAGCTGAGTAGCCACGTGCAGAGAAAACGCGTTTTGTGCGTTGAGAAAACAGGCTATTAAACAACGCCCACGTCGCATCCTTTCGCTGAAGATCTTTACGCAATTCTTGCATAACGTATCATCGCTATTCTCATTTAACTTCTCGCAATAAACACAATCTATGTGTACGACGTGCACGTGTAGATTATTTCATTAACGCATTGAATGCCAATCGTATGGCGTCATCTATGCTAGAGGAAAAGATTCGCTAAACAAGTATGCAATAGGCATTGATGTCATGTCAATATTCTATTGGATTCAGTTGATTATTCGCTATTCCTTGTGAATTTTCTTAATTTGACTTGTTGCAACTGTCAAGAATAATTCAAATGTTAGAATGCCAGTAGATGTGCAAATTGTTCAAATTTGTTTGACAATACGAGCATTCCGCTCAAGTATAGCTTATGATGATAGTCGAGATAAGGAGAAAGGTTATTCCTTTACTGTAAATAATTAACTATTTTAATGAGACTTCGTTTATGTACAATGCGTTACAATATGAATCAAAAAGTCCTTTTCCATTTTGCAATCCAAAATTCCGTTACGAAGACATGAGCAATTGAACTTTCCACGAGTGTGAACGCATAAATACGCTGGTGCCTAGTGCGCAGGTGCGCGATCAGGTGACTGGAAATTAAATGGCACGTACCAAAGGTCGCGGAAGTAAATTTAGTTAGTGTTCTACGATATATGATACATAATAAGTTGTTCGAGGTAAACAAGTTGCGAATTACGTCGTGTTTGGTTTCATTTTAATCAGAATAATGTCAGGAATATGATGGTAAAAGTTTTACAACAAAAAAGTTAATAATAAAAAAAGTTTTATCGTTGCATTAGCATTGTCTCACCGAGATATTCGATCCCAGATCATGTTATACTACTCGGCGATCGAACTTCTGGATCCTTTAATCTCCTTAATCCCAGTGATGGGGATGGTTTCTGTGCATTTATCGTAGAGAATTTTATGCATTTATGGAGACTTTACTTTACGTTATCTCGATAACGAAGTTTCGGATTGTAAAATGGTAAAGCCCATTTCAATTTCTTTTCATTCTAGGATTTGATGCTGTAAAAAAGTCTTACATTTTTGTTAATAACGTATGGTTTTTTTTTTGTTGAATTACAGAGTGACGACGCGTGCACCGTGTGCTTGTTCTGCGGCGGTTACCAATGGCAGCTCTGCCCTGTTTGCAATGGTAGCAAGAGGTCCGTGCACCGCAACGACTTCACCGCAGAATTCGTCGCCCTGAAGTGCGCGAAATGCGACGTGAACGGTCTGATTCGCTGCCCTCATTGCTGAAGAACATGTGGGGGTGACGCGAACCTCGAACGACATCGTCAATCCTGGAAGCTGCGATCGGATAACTGGCATACACCTCCCTCTATTTAAGACTAAGGTGCTACGAGAGTATATTGCATTACACGTTAGGGAACACGTGCTGTCGCGTCGCGGACTACAGAATCGCTGTATGTACAGAAGCGGTAGGGATGTTCGATTCTTCTAAAAAATAGATTCTGCAATCTATTTTGAAACTATTCAAAATGGATTTCGCATTCCTGCATTAAATAATAGAGTTATAAAATGGATTCATATCTAGTTGAAACTGTCTATTTATACGCCCTAAAATCGTGAAAAAATTATTTACTAAATGCGTTTTGTTATTATTTTTGTTTATTGTTTGCTTGCGAACAGAGACTGTAATATAATGTATATATAAAATTTTAGATGAATGAATGTTTTGTCTCACTTCGAATATTTGCTAATAACTGTTGGTCCCCTGTAAAGTTACCCTAAAATTCTAAGAACTTGTTGTTACAAAATTTAATTATTTCATTTTATTAACCATTTCACAGGAAAATAGACGATTCTTCTAATTCTTTTCAGATAATCGATTCAAAATATTATATGTAGTCGCTTTAAAAAGTGCTTTTGAAAATAAGTTTAACACCCGAATTGTACTTTGTCCCCCTGCACATTTTAATTTCGTGAATGAATGTTTACCTTACGTGTATCATATAACGCCGCAGGCTTTGTGCAATAAAGACGTTGAATAAAATAAATAAACAGATGGAATCGAGTTTCTGGAAAATAAATAATCTAGAATATCGACTTAGAATCGGACATCCCTAGAAATGATTTCTGCAATTGGAAATCTCCGCGCGAGTGGCCGAGAGTCCGTGGCTCGAACGCGTTTCAGAAATTCGAGATAAAACTCCACTCGAAAGCTCGACCCCGGCCATTGGGCACGATTCGCAAACGCTAATGGCGCGACTGCGCCCGTGAACTGTAAAATATCGGTTAATAAAGCTTATCTAAAGTTTTGTAATACCCAACCGATTCGACTGCCTTTATTTTCACTGCTATCCTCTCCCCTGTTACGCGATACGGAAAAAGACAACAATTTTTACGATTTCAGCTCTATTCTGCATCCAACGTACCGGGTATCTTGTTTTCAGGGATTCAGATCAACGTTATCAAGGATATTAGAAAATTTAACATTTTCTGTGTGCTATAAATATTATAGGGAAATTTGTTATTTTAATTATGTTTCAGATCTGAAGGTTAGTGATGTTCCTCTATTTTAAATTTCCAATAATCAGGTAATTTTATTTCTAAGTAAAAAGGTTGCTCGGAAATACGTCCCAGATGAATTATTCTACATATAATACAATATTTCCCCAAGGTAAGTTTATAATTTATTCTATTTCATGGGGAGGTATTTAATGGTGTACGTCGAGCATAATTTTAATCAAGGTGAACCATCTACCGAGATTATAGGGTTACCTCTGTTTTCATTTTTAATGATGTTGTACATTGTTTAGGCCAACTGTGTTCCTGTGTAGGAAAACTTAACTTCATTTACAAACAAACAGAAATATATCTAAAAATTCTGATCACACGCCCTTGTTCATAAATACGTGGAGACTTGCAATCTTCAATAAATAATTAATATACACTGTAAATTATTACTGTGTAATTTTTGTTGCTGAATTGAATGTGTATTTAAAAACATTTAATAATTTTAAATGTTTCGATTGCCATTTTCGATTTCATAGTGAAACCATGAGATAGTTTAGATAAAAAAAGTTCAGAAAGAATATTCAGTACATGAAAAACATTTATGGCGAAATATTACAAAATAAATGAGATAATATTACTTCGGATACAATGAAGAAATTAATAGTATCCAAATTTGGTAAAAGACATTTTAACATTATCTAGTTATCTCCATAATTGTTTATCATTACTAATGTGATATTAAAAAAAACTATTAATAGAATATATTTGCTAATCCAACATAAACATATCGAAACATAAATGATATAATTTATATTAATAAATTCGCAACTTTTATTAGATATTTATTTCTATTAACGAAGTGTCCACATACTTCTGAGCGGGGATGTATATCATAGATTGTTGAGCTCCTACTATAAATTTTCTACCCTTTAATCTCGAAGTCTATACAGTGGTGAAACGACTGAACTCTGATATATACGATAATTCGAATTGATTTGTAGTCATTGATATTATAGGACGTGACTTCGAATTTTGTCCTCTAGTAAGTGGTTTCAAGCATCGCCGAAATAAATAAATTCCAACGTATGCAATAAGTTTAATGGAAAGAGCGCGTGGTCACATAAAAGAGGAGAAAAACAAGCTACCCTTAAATCTCGGAAGTGACTTACCCAAATCAAAATTATGCTGACGTGGCCCCTCGAAACTGAATATATCATAGTCGTCCCTTCTTAAATGGGAGATTCGTCTAAGAGCCTCCCTCTAAGCAGCAGGTTCGCAGAAAATCGTGTGGAAAAAATATAGCGGGATGCTGGATCAAATGCTGGATCCTACACGTGGCAACGAAAAGAATGGGAACTTTGGAGGAAACAGAAATTCTCGATGCTTCAGATGATTCTGTTCAACCTACAAACATAATGAATAGATTTTAAGAAGCACTTCTTTTTCAGAGTTGAATCCACATATCTATATCGATGGACACTCGTCGAAGAAACCTTCTACGAAATTCGTTATGGCCTTGAAATTCAAGACAAAATTTTGATTATATTTCTAAATATATTACTCAAAGAAAAATCCTGTGTACAAATATATTAGTGTAATCACGAGGGGAACGGTACACGATTCTCGATCAATCGTGACATTTTCGTGTCGGAATCTTCACTTAGGGTCGTCTTAACCAGCCGTCATAAGTTCTCGCGGATTACCAACTCGCTTAATCCGTGGTTTCGAGCAAACTTAACCGTTCCCGTCGTCTGCCACCCGGTGGCTCGTAGTTATTTAATCAATACAGCTAGCATTGCGTTTGCATCGATGATCCGGTTGGGCTCCGTCACTCCTACGATTTGCTTGTAATACTCGAACCGAAAACACTGTAAAAGTGTTGTAAATGATTGCAACTCGTATGAAAAAAGATTACTTGATAAATTAATTAAGACATTTATAAGTTTTTCTTGTAAACTGTGTTTTACAACAGGTAGTTGTTATGACCTCCTTCTTAAATATTATCATGGTTTTTAACCCTTTCAGACCACGCGTCTACAATTGAGGGCACAAGATTAAAAAATTACCGACACTATCGTTTAGGGCGAATGTCCTAATTTGTGCACATAAAGAAAGTTTTCCTTAGGATTTTTTTTTTTTGCCATACTAATTTTAGTCCATGTTAACTCTAAAAATTAGATTACATTAGCACGAGAAAAAAAAATAATTCAAATCTGAAAGGGTTAAACGAATTTTTCAAACATACTTTTTCCAAAATAGCCACAGCTCTTCCTTAAAAAAATTCCCGCCTTCTTTTTAATTTTACACTACCTTCGACATTTATCAGCAGTAGTTACACGTGTGTACTGTGTATAAATTATAAGGCTTCAGTGAGAAGTTCATATTTTGCGGTTGAGGAACTCGTCAACACCTCGAGGTTGGCCACCACTGTTCAAGACACCCCCGTGACTAATTTCGTCCCAAGCAATTTCGAAACAAGCAGCGTTACACGAAAAAGTTCGCGAGATCTGGTTCGTGATTGCGCACCTCATTTCGCGGAGAAAAAAAAGGGTCGGTTTCGAAGGTTACTTCGGTAGGAAAAAAAGACGGCACAATTGTACTCGATCGTATTTAATTGCGGAGCCTGAATCGTGGCGCAAAGTAGGTTTCGTTCTAAAAAAAAATATAGGACAGTATATTCTATGGAGGACTGTCGCGGCGAACTGGCCAGTAAAGACGTACTTCCTGCCCCGTTCGTTACTTTAATTACGGAATTTGGAACGGAGTGTTAGTTATTCGCGACTTTTTCACGCATGTGAGTCTGTCCACGAAGAAGCAGACTGGACGAAAGTAGGTGTAAGTAAGTCAGTCGTCTAATTTGATGCGTGACACCTCAAGTGTATCGCATCAAACGTTGATAAACTTTGTTAAAACAACAAAAAACGGATATTACGGAAACAGTAGAAACAAACAAATTACAGAGAGAAGTAACAAATTTTACAGATAAAGGTACCCAATTTCACAGTAATTTTGTTAATTATATACATTTTAAACCGAATACAACAATGGGCGTCAGACATTCAATTTCAATTCAATTACCACTAATTCGATACGTAGGTTTCGAATCCCAGGTAATGTAGTTCTCAACTAATATACGTGTGCGTACATTGTATATTTTTAATTACAAGCAAGCCAACATACAACGGAAGCGTTAACATTAACAATATTTTACTATGTTTATGTTCTGCTAATATACGTAGTACATGTATTCTACGGAGCTTTAATTGAACCAGTACAACCCGCTAATGGTTTTAATGTTTGGCTTGTAATATGAAACACGTTCGTGCATTAAATCGATCGCGGTATCTTCGGTTTGTATATGGAATATGTTGAATCGACAGGATCTCGCATCGTCCAAACACTACATTTAGAATGCATGCGGAACAATTAACTGTCGTTTCCGTAGCGACTCGCTTTATTTATGATAGATTCAACATTCGAATTGCAAACCGCGATGCTGCCTGCCGAACATGCACTTCGAACGCTAATAAATTTGAAACCTTCGTGTTCGTCCTACGTACTGTAGGCACAATAATAAAGTTTTCTTACCTCTTGCCGTGTATTCATTTCTCTATAAAGATCTTTGTATTTTTATGTTTAAGAAAACATTAGTGTGAGAGCTCCTTTATGTCTTTTCACAAATAAGCTCTGATAGAAAACGTCACCGACTCTCTTACGTCATCAGTGGATTGAAAAGAAAGAACCGAACGATAATCGTCGTCAGGCGAACGAACACGTCCCATTGGAGCCCCGTGCCAGTTATGCAAGTTCGTTAGTGACGGATCAACAGTTCTATTTAAATTCCGTTTATTAACAGTGGCGGATCGAGGGCTTCGTTATATTGGCACGCCTTCGCGCTGTCAATAGAACGTCACGTACAGCGTCGCGTGCACGGAACGAACACCTTCTGAGAGGACATTTAATCCGTCCAACCGATACAACCCTGTCGGAAACTTAAAAATAAATGGCAGACGTACACGAAGTGACTTCGACAGGTTCAGAATTTTCTCAATAAAAGTTGCCAGACTCACACGATATAGCAGTGATTGCCTTGAGGATGACATTTGCACGGTCCAGTTGACACGAACAAGACAGCTGGGGTAAACGCCCTAAACATCGACACATTTTGTGACAATCACTTCAAATAATAGTAAAACATTCTGGAAACTATTTTTGTCTACATTGTATTAACCCTTTGGTTGCGAAGGGCGTATAAAGCGTGTTTTGTTTAAGTGAGTATAGCAGGATATCTCGGAAGATGTTGTAGTTATTAAAAATCAATTCCTACAAAAGTTGTTTGGTAGGACTTGGAATATAGAGGTCAATCTAATTTTTTTAAATGGAATGCTATATTTTTTATACAAAAATATGATAGAGTATCCGTATACAAACTTTGACTCAAGTAACTCAAACTTTTCTTGATATAAAATTAAAAGAAATTCGCGTATAATTTCTCAAGAAATCTTTCACCCATAATAAATAGCCCTAATCGCAAATGACGAGTAATTGGCCACTTTAAGTGTGACAACATTGATTGGACGTCGAGTTACAAATTACTCGAGTCAAATCGATACACTCAGAGGTAGGTCTAAAGTTTCATCTAGCTCTGTAACGCGCGTTTAATGTGTTGCGGGGGCTTCGGTGGCAAGTATCGATTGATACTCCTGACCATTAAACAATTTTAGTCCGTCCACGCAACAGACTGCATCGCTAATAACTATTAGTTTGAACGCCATCCAGTCCATGATCCTATTAAAAAGTTTCCTCTATTTCC